AGCAGCCTCCCCGTGCATTAAGCCTCCCCTGCAGCCGCACCACCCAAACAATGCGGCACGCATCCGCTACACGCAGAGAAGCCATTCTCCACCTCCGAACCGTTCCCGCTGCAGAATCTAATTCAATTTTTCCCGTCTCTCTCTCAGCATCTTCTAACCTCCCTTCTTCATATACTCGAATATTCCAATTCTCTCTCCACAATCTCACGCTATAAAGAGCAGCCGCGCAGCCAAACCATTCACCAAATTCTCAACATTTTCCTCCTCTTTCTCATCCGGCGACGAAGATGGCCGCAGCAGTGATAATCTTCGACTTTGACAAGACGATCATCGACTGCGACAGCGATAACTGGCTCATCGACGAGCTCGGCGCTACGCCGCTCTTCGAATCCCTTCTTCCCACCATGCCCTGGAACACCCTCATGGTTTTCCCTCCTCATATTCGATTCAAAATTTCTCTTTTTTTAATTCGCCCAATGTGCCAATTCTTCTCCCCTGTTTCAGGACCGCATCATGATGGAGCTGCACGCACAGGGCAAGACAATCGATGACTTCGCCGAGGTTCTCAAAAGGGCGCCACTTGACCGCCACGTGGCTTCCGCCATCAAATTCGCTCACGCGCTAGGGTACCTCGCCTCCCATCTTCTCCCCCCAATCCCTTCTTTTTCTCCAATTAATCTCTAGGGTATTTTCAGATGCGATCTGAGGATCGTGAGCGACGCCAATGTTTTCTACATTGAGACGATCCTCAAGCACCACGGGCTTGTCGGATGCTTCACCGAGATCAACACAAACCCCAGCTACGTCGACGCTGAAGGCCGACTCCGAATCTCTCCCTACCATGATTTCACCAGCTCCTCCCATGGATGCCCCCTTTGCCCCCCAAATATGTGCAAGGTAAACTCATACATCCCGCCATCAATGTCAATTCTTTGCTAATTCATATCCTCGATTATAAAGTCGCCAGCTTTGGCCGCATCTTGCAGAGCAAAATCATGGAGCGGATTCGCGCCGAGGGGAAGAAGAAGATCATCTACTTAGGCGATGGCAAAGGCGACTACTGCCCATCTCTGCGGCTCGGCGAAAGTGATTTCGTGATGCCGAGGAAGAACTATCCTCTATGGGATCTGATCCAGAGCGATCCCGGTCTGCTCAAGGCTGAGGTGCATGAATGGAGTAATGGTGAGGAGCTGGAGAGGGTTCTTCTTCATCTCATCAGGTTCTCGGAATTCTTAGACAGCAATGGCAGCGCGACCGCACAGCTTCTATCAGGTGACTGTAAAATGGTGTCCATGCCGGGGAAGTCCCCTGAGCCCCTCCCCAAGGTCTTGCCTGTTCTTCTGTAGATCCGGTTGGTCATTTTATGTTTGTTGAAAGGTGAAAGGGAATTTTAAAGCGGTCAAAAGGACCAGTTTGAATTCACGCTTCACTAATTTATCTATGATAATAATTGTATTAGTGGTGTATTACAATTGTTGAGTTATATGTGATGATTGTCCAACCACAGAAGGTGTATTTCAATAATGACTTTGTGGTTAAATTTATATGTAGGAAAGAGTAGTTTTGTTCAATGAAATACTGATTTTAATTAATAAAAATATGAATTTCCTTTTTTTTTTTGGTTGCCAGTGTTTTTGGAGTATATTGTTACTACTTTTATGATGAGTTCATGATTGGTAAATTACTTGTGCAACTGAAGATTTAATAATGTCGAAATTATTTTTTAAGAGTTATTTTAATGTGTTATAATAATTTAATTTAATAATATGGTAAAAAAGAGTCCAGATATAAATTATGTTTGGATAGCACAAAAAAAAAAAATTGTAATATTATACTCATTGTATATGTATTGTACTCGTCGTTTTGTGATGTGCCTGGATATATTCTACATCCAGCCTCTGTAATATTTTTTGTAATGACAGTACATTCTCTTAGTAATGTTACACTTATATGGAAAAATGAAATAAATCAGATAACATAACATTTAAGATGTCTCAAATCACTGGCAACATTGCAGGAATAAATTTCCAACTTACAACGGATTAAGCCCAATCAAATAAGCTTGAAAAACAATGCAAAAAGTAATTATTAAGACCATCCATTTACAAAGATCGAAAAGCTCGTCCTGATCCGTTCATTTCACCTCTAAAAGATTATAATAATATGTCAGGATTTCCTGCTTCAGAGCAAGAAAGAGTTTGATAATAATAATAATAATAAAAAGAATTGGAAGACTTACAGTTCCAATTCTTATGTATTTATATATCTAACACAAATTTCAATTTTTACATACATCCCACAGACCTGGACATTAGGCGGGTGGCCTGATGGACTCGCCATAAGCCCGCTTAGAATGAACATATATGACTAAGAAAAAATAAAAATTTAATTGGCTTAGTGTATGTTTGGGGCAGCTGTAGTTGCGCTGCCCAGAAAACTACTGTGGGGAAGCTGCCTGTTTGTTTGTTGCAGTTGTGTGAAAATAGCTGTGGGTCAACTGTTTCTGAAAAAAAAAAAACCATCATGCCAATGTGTTGTATTTATGTATATAACAGAAGATAAAATGATTTTTTATATTAAATAAATAATTTTTTGAAGCAATAAATTAACATTAATTAAAAATTAATTAGTTTTATTAATTTAAACAACGGGTATGTTTGTCAAATAATTTAAAATTTAAAAAAATGTTTGTAAAATAACTAATTAATCATTAAATAATAATATATAATTTCATCTCATTATGATTTATTTGAAAATAGATGAATTAATCATTAATTATTAATAAATTAAATCAAGATAAATATGATTTCAATTCCTTAATGAATTATCTAAGCAGAACTTGCAAAAACCAATTGAACTATGGGCCCAACAATGCCATATTCAGAATTAAAAAGTTTAGTTTAGGCAATAAGCCAACATTCTTGTTTGTGAAAAATTGAGCAGCAATACAAAACAAGTTTTTCCAAGTTCAACACCCCCATATGCACAAGCTGATAAAGAAGGATAAATCGTGAAGAAAAATGAATGCTCAACTTGTATAACTCGTTCAATCTGACATAGCATTATATTCATCATATGCAATGTTAGCACAAACATTACCCTAGGGTGCTGCGACTTCGAGCGGTTTCGGGAACAGCGAAAGGCAATGCGGCTTTGAGCAGTTTCGGGAACGGCGGGAACGGCGGGAGGCTTCATGGGAGCAGCGGCGTGCTAGTGCAGAAAAATCCCTCCGCGAGGTTTCGGGAACGCTGGGGTGTTGCGGCTTCGAGCGGGGGCAATGAGGGAAATGATAATTGCGAATGCGGGGCACGGGGTCGATCCCGCAGCCCTCACTCTGCATCCTTTAGCGGCGGCAGGCCACAAACGCTGCGCGAAAGTGGAAAAAAATAAAGGAGTGTAGCGGTTTGGGGCCGCGCTGCTTGTAAAAAGAGGCCCCAAACGAACCCTCAATCCTGCCTGAGCCCGCTTTGACTTAGTCAAAGCTTGAATAAGCCCGACCCATGCCAAGCTCGGCTCAGCTAATGGCCAACTCTACTAAGTATAGCTCAGCTCAGCTAATGGCCAAATCTACTAATTATAGTTAACGATTGCAAGCTTTCGAGACCATTAATTCTCTTTTTTAAAATCATATTCGATACTTTGGCAAGAATTTGAAAAATATATCTCATATATTAAACCACATTACTTTATTCGAAAAGTAGTATTGCTTCAATCCTCTTGTGATATCTGGGATTAAATCAATGGATTTGAAGTTTTAGAGCCTTCTTTGGAAAGCATGAGTGCTCCTGTATTTACACACAAAATTGGACTTCTTCATCTTGTCCACTCTTCATAAAGTAGGAATAATTACATAAATAGCAATGAACAATGTTTCTATATACAAAACTAACGCATACATATCGAAATAACAGTACGTAACATATGAAAAATCACATTTTTTTGAAAGTCACAGGAGGCCCGTGGGCCGACCATTCATTTAGTGGGTGGGCCTAGATATGACATTCAAAATAAAAATCAGGCTCAAGCCCATCTCGAGCTCACTTTGACTGATCGGAGCACGAATAAGTCAGGCCCATGCAAACCCGGAAGCCCAATACCCACGTCTCCCACCTTACCTATGTATGAACAGGTGTTATTTTTGATGTTTTGTGAAATACTTGGCTGGCATAAATGTAAAAAGTAAAATTTAGATGTTAAATA